CAGTAATATATCGATACGCGTTCAAAGTTGTATTATTGTGTACACTGTACACAATAATACGTAACTTGTTTGTAAATATAAATTTTGTCGACAATGTACAGATTTTCTTTTGCAAAATATTACAGTTTTCATTAATTTATAGATTACAAAGTCGCGATTTTGCCTTAATCTAATCCAAATTTCCGATATCATTAACCTTTTCTGCATACAGTGTTGATGCACTGATTAGAGATCATCGGGTCAATTAATGAAAAAAAAAAACTTTGAGGCACGTAATGTAAACTTAACTTACTCGATTACGGAATTAAAATTTCTGCAAATGCATTGAAAACGAAGAAGAAGAAAGTGAAAGAACGGGGAAAAAAATAAGCGCACAGAAGACATTTGCGTAAACTATGTAGTGTATATAAAAAAAAACTAAAAATGCAAGGCGTTTAAATTCCTTCATAATAGTATACAACAAGAAAAAACACAGACGGAACAGATTTATGTTATTCGCAATAACGCGTTAGTTCTTTTTTTCCTAGCCAGAATGCACTTTGCAGCAAATTAACATCTAGTAGAAAACAAAAAGAAATAATTAACATTCACAGCACGTGAGAAACCAATTAAAATGCAAGTGGATTAAGTAAATTAGATCTGACAGAGATTTGAACTTTCCAATTGGAATAATTCACTTATCGTTTCCTAATTCCTACAACTAAATATAAATGTTAAATTTAATGTACAAAAGAATGAGTTGGGTCGTTGGCTGCAACTTTTCTTCGTTTGCAAATGCATTATTTATGAATAACAGAACGTACTGCAATTTGTGTGTGTGTATATATAATTATTAGTTGTTTCTTGGCAATTAAAAGGGAAAAACCGTTTTCGCATACGAGAAAAACCAATCGAAAGTTAACTTGCTAAAATAAACTGATCTACTAAACGCCACCACAAAGTGGAAGAAATTGAGTTTTGTGTCAATTATTATCCGAACCCGTATCTCGATTACGATTATCTTGCGATTCGGTAGAAAGTCAACACGCGCCCGTTTGTGACATTTTACATAACAGTATTTTCAAGGCGTTCCGTAAAACGAGAGAAGGAAGAAATGGAAACAACTTTTTTTTCGCTCTCGAACTCTCCGCCGTATATTAATTAGATTGCAATACGTTATTATTATTATGTATTAGCAGTAGTAAAATGCGTCGCACTACGGATTTACACATTTGCATATTCATATGCAACAATCGTTTATCGATTCAAATAAAACGCAACAAATCTATGTAATTTTTTTTGTTTGACCCAAATTACCGTTACGAATTTGTTGCAGACGCAATCAAAGAAAACAATATATATATTTAAGACTGCTCGTTTGTTCGCCACGTGTTTTAAAGGCTTGGTAAACCCGAAATGAAATGAGTCTTGCTTTACTTCCAATACATATGATTTAGTGCAGTATATAATTTGTGATTTGCGGTTCTTAAAAGCTTTTAAAGTGTAAAGAAGTGTGGGTTAGTCAGTGATTGATGCCTTATGCATTAAGTCAATTGAATGCATCCGCATTGGTGTAAATGGACTGGACGTTGTCCAAGAGTTCGTTTACCTGTTGGACGTCCTTCTCTCACACTCACTTCTTGCGTATGATAAACGAAAAGCCGAAATAAACGCTTATTTTTATTATGTTTCAAGCGCAACAGGCCCACCTTTGAGGCAGTTCCTCAAACATGGAGGATTCGTCTTTATTTTTATAGATTTTTCGACCGTGCTCGTATTGTTGTCTAAGAGGGGTATACAAAATAGAAGCGAGGAAATTCGAAAATAGCCTCGCATCTATTTCCGACATAACGCAAAGACGGAGACGCTCGCGCCTATCGGGTGGGTGTCCCACAAAGGTTCGTGGACGGGAATAGAACTTTTTTTTTTAATTTAAAAATACTAGATGTATATGTATACACAATGGTCATGTGACGCATCTATTTCGCGCTAGTTTTTTTTCTTTCTTATTATTATTGATGACAAGGATTATTATCAATCAAACGATTCAAACGGTTTTTTTGAGATAAAGCCCACTTCATGGGAGATAGCAAGAGTGCATGGGTGGCATAAGGTTAAGTAAGCCGTGGAAAGATACCGCGTGGTCGCGAAAATCCAAGGCGGCGGCGACAACGACAGTTGTTCTCATCCATGACGTAGGATGATTTTCAGGTGCCGCGCTCATTCAAACCTCTCGAATTTAGGTCAGACGATTGAGGAAAAAAATAAAAGTGAAATCTGCATGTTTCGAAACATATTTTCCGTCATCCGGAACATTCTCGAAAAAAAAAAGGAGAGTTTTACATGCCGGCACGTCCACTTCCGTCCGTTGACGGTGATCCGAGCATGCCGCGGCGTTTTGACGCACGCAAAACGTTTTCCTCCCCGAGAACCTTCTTCTTTTCATCTTTTTTTTTTGTCTTCCTCGCCACTCACCTATCAATAGCAGATGACTGCTGCAAATCCTGATACAGGCGGCGGTAACTTCACTGAATTTGCACAGGAACGACTATCGTCGTCGCGTATTATCTCTTTTTTTTTTCTGTCTTGTAGGTGAAAAGCAAGCTGCTCGAGCTTTCCACGTGCTCGCAATGTTTTCTATGCGGCACTCCAATATGGCGCACTCAGATCCTCCGGCGGCCGGCGTTCAACGATTAAACGCGAACGCAACCATTTATGGAATCCCCGAACCTGAAAAATCCAACAAGTAACGGACAGCTGGCGACATCTCTTATCGTACATTACCATACATGATGACGATTCAACCTAGGCAACAAGCAGCACTTCAGTCCAAAAATTCTTTACATCTCATCAAGTATATGATCGTTAATATCATCTTCATATCCAATCTGTTGCAGTTAGGCGATCTATAAGATAAAAATGTTAATAATATAAAATGTCAATCATCATAACTTAACTGTAGGCAACATGCAGCACTTGTCCTTGCCCCATTTAATCCAATAGGAAATGTTCCTTTCTTCCTTTAGGTCTTTCAATCCAATTTGAATCATGTTACAGTTACAAGATCTGAAAATAAACAAATATAAGTAAAATACAATTTAAAATGTGAATCGTCTTAACTGTAGGCAACATGAAGCACTTCCTTTCAATGCATAATCCATTACAGCTTCTGAAAACTATAAACAAGAAAATAATATGATACAAATAACAATCATTTTTGCTTTAGGCAACACGCAACGCTCGTCCTTATAAACCTTATAATCCAATAGGAATCTCGGTATAGGCAACACTCCAACAATTGTCCATTTCTTCCGCAATCCTAGAGAGGACGCAACATCGGTAAAATTTTTACTGCTTGTACTCGTAAGGACGGTAAAAAACACAAATCTACCTGCAAATTAACGAAAGAAATCTTATTAGACTAACGTTTATGTATTGTGAATAGTTATGTAGTAATCGATGGTTGCGCCATCATCGGCCATACCGCAGAACAAAAGTGTAGTGATTCAACGTTAGATGGTGCCTGCGTTTTATAACGAACGCATTCGAAATATTTAAATTTTTCTCGTAGCAAAAACGAATTTGAATATTATAACATTAATGACAAGTGATTGCAAATATAAATATTTCGTAGTCTATGTACAAGTAGAACTAATCCTCATTAGATACTTTCCAAACACGATAAAAAACAATTGAATTGAATGTCATGGAAATAAGTAAAGAATGTGTGAAAGGTCCGATAATTGCGTGTGTTTATAGATATATCAGAGAGAGAGAGAGAACAAGATAGAGTTGTGATAATAATTAATTCAGAGTGGTTCTGTTCAGCGATTCGGACGAGCATCAGACAATGGTTGTAGATAGAAATGCAAGGGACCCGTCGATCCCATTACGCAAATGGAAAACGGCATTGCAACAAGCCACATTAATTATCTCCGTCTGCGTACGGCCATATCTGATCACGAAATAAAACAAATGCATAACATAATTGCGTGCACGAAAAATTACTACTGTTGTTGCGAAAACAACAATAAACAAACTTGAGTGCAGCAAATGAGTTTTCTTAAATTTTCGTTTAGTTTTTTGCATTGAAACAATTAAACGGAAATTTTGGAAACTGTCCAAGTGTAATTAGTTAACCGGCGAGAGCTGTTTGGAAGAAGAGGCGAAATGCGTTTGGGAGGACGGACAGCGCACACACACACATATTTCGGTAAACACCGAGGGCCTTGACCCAGACAGAAACCTTGAACTTTGGCGGAGCGACGCATGCGTTTCGCCGAAAAAAACGAAGAACGAAAACTCTTCGAATACTTCTTGTGTTTATATACGTATATAAATTTGATACTTCTGTGCGTTCTGCAAGCAACACATCGATTCGTGCGTCATCGAATTTACCAAACTTGACCGAAAAGAACAATGTTTGAAAACGCGAAAACCATTCGCTCGTTGCGGATGTGAGTAACTGTTAAAAGGAAACAAAAGAGTAGAGGAAGAAAAAAATGAACAACGCAACAACAAAACAAGTGAATTGCAATTATTTTGTTTGCGGAAATCGTATTGGATTCGAATGCAGGGGAGAGAGAGAGAGATAGTGAAGCGGGGGTGGCGGCGTTGCGTGCGCACCCCGACTGATCGATGTCGGCGGGCGGGCGGTCGTCTGTTTCAAGGTAGGGCCGATGCCATGTTGAGGCGACGCCCCAAGGTCAGCGCCCTGACCCGGCGCCGGCGATTGACCTCCTTTCATAGACGTCGCGACGCTCGCGAGTCTGCCGAACCCCGCCGCCACCACCACCACCACTACTACCACCCGGTTTGCCCGGACTTCGAACTATGCAGCAAGCAGCAAAAGAGCGCGAGAGAGATAGGATATAAAAAAGAAAAGGGTTGACTCAACCTAGTCGAGGTGCTGCTGGAACGAAGACTTCGCAGACGGAGGAGGAGGAGGTGAATCCCTCCGGTTTTTTTTTCGCCCTACGAGACGCATATAAAATATACAATGAAAACTCTCTCACCTTCCCTCCTTTTAACCAGAACAACTGCAATCTTTCTTCATATGATCAAAAGCAATTTACTCTTCCCAACCAATTTTAAACTGCTCCATTTGGTAGCTTTCTTCTTTACAATTCCTGCAATGTTAATTTGAGTAATTAGTATTGTTAACATTTGATTTAATACAAATAACACATACGTTTTGAATTCAGTTTGGGAATCACCTGAAACATAATTAAATCATCTATTAGGAGGTGCGTAACTGCATTTACATAATTATTGTTTTTAAACAGTAATTGTAACTAAACTCCGTTACTAAGTCGCAGTTGATATTGGCTTGGCATGCGGCTTTCGCATGTGATAAAACATGAAACGAAGCTACGAAAAATAATAGGAAGATACGTCGAGATGTAAACACGAAAATGCTTGCGCGTTTGTTTGCTCCAGTTACATTTTTTTGTTATTGTTATTCTCTTCAGTTTCTTTTCGCCTTCATCTTCTTCCTCTGTTCGATGCGTATAGTATTTAACCGTGTGATGTTGCTAGAGTGTGATTGGCATGAAGCGGGCACGGATGGATCGAGCCGATGTGAAAGACCTTTAAGCTCGGTCAATGCCTGTATGAAGTGTGTGTGTGTGTGTTGTATGTATGCGAAACGTGATAATGAAAATTATACAAGCGTGTCATAATTGTGCTCGTTTTTTGCCTCGTTTCTCGTTGCAGCCCGTGGTCTATGACTTATAAGTCGAGCCTCGCGTGATTATCAATGAACATACACATACATACACACGCACACTTCCACTCTTCGTGCTCATACAACAACAGAAGAGAACAGAAACAGATTTATGAAAACCGCAAGATTTCACCGACAGCAACTTGCATAGAAAACGCAGACACTGAAATATATAACAACTTACTTTATCGATCCGAAGAGGGAGGTTTTTCCTCGTTGCATTTTCCGAAGGGGTCTTCTCTCCCTATTCTAACCTTGTCCCCCAATTTCGAATCACCCCTCACAAGCAAGCACAAGCACTTGTTTCATTCCTTCCCTTTTCCTTATCGTAGGTATCCTTGAAATTTCGCACAGCCCACGATGATCCTGATCCCGACAACTCGTCGTAACGAGAGCGCTCCGGATTACATTGGATTATTCGTCTGGATGCAAGAGACGTGACACGCCGATTGCGAGATTAAAGTTTCCTGAAATCACAAGATTTAAATACTTAAATCGATTATTTACGAACATCAATTACCAATCCTATTTAATAAATTGCAATAAGAAAATACTAATGATTAATTGTAATGTGAATATGTTGATCGTGGAAAAGTGTATTGGTTTTGCACAGAGAAAGGAGCTTTCTACGAAATAACATTTAAAAATGATTTTGTTGCATTTGATACAATGAAGTGTACAAAAGAAGTTATTAGAAAGGCCATTATAGAACGTGAATATAAAAAAAAATGCATTTTCAATAGATCAAAGCAAAAGAACTGCATTAGTATGGAGTGAGCATAGTTCTATTAAAATTATACATGAAGGAAAATGTAATAAAGCGATAGATAACGTTGATGCTCGCAATGAAATCTTAAGAACAGTATTTATCTGCGAGCATCGTCCAGGATGCTGTGGAGAAATTGAAAATAAGCAAGCGAAGGTAATATGATAATTAATTAAAGCAAATTGCGCTTTAACAATCTGTGGCGAAATGGGAGGAGATGAGGACAAGATGAGAGGAGAATCTTTGGTGATTCTTCTTGAGGAGAGAACCCGACCGAATGGCATTTGTATACTGCTGCTTCTGCTGCGGCAGGAGTTTCTCAGTATTTTCTAACGCCTAACGCCCGAGAATGTTATTGTCCTTTCTGCGTTTTGTCCTTGACCGTTCGCTTGAGCCGATGGCCGCGAGAGGCGCTAGAAAAAGAGAGGAGAGAGAATTCGCATTCCGATGGCCATTCACCTGACCACCATTTCGAACCTTCTTCTCCTCCTCCTCGTCCTCTCATCCAGCTCGAAGCCAAAAAAAAAGTAAATAAATAAAAATAATAATAATAATGAGAAACGCGGACCGAACGAATCGGAGCTTTCGTTATAATGCGTTACAATATGTATCTTATAGGGCACGCAGAAATAAAAGAACGCATTATAATTGGGTTTCTTTCGGGATGGGACCTCAAAGATCCAAGGTTAGTGATTGCAGCCGTCGCGAGTATTTCGGTATAAATATATAGGGTGGTCCCTTCTCCGCATCCTCCTCCTCCTCCCCATCATCTATAAATACGCGCCTACATTTAATGCGTTCCATACGCAATGGTTAAAGTAAAGTGGCCTTTCTGTATTCCCTTTTCTTTTCATCTTCTCTTGTATTCTGCTGTGCACACATGTATATGAATGCTTGTGTTTATGTTTGTGTGTGCGTGTGTGTGGAGAGAAGAGAGGAGATAAACAAAAAGCGATTCGCTAAAATAACTCGTCCTGACCTTGAACTTGAACGCTCGCACCGTGTCATTGCACTGGAATCCTCAGTTTCTTGGCCTCCTCCTCCTGACTTTGATGACAACCCAACAGGCGCATGCATACATACATACATACATACTTGTATGCATGCATACAAAGCTTTATTCCTTCTTCAGGGCTCATCTTCACCAACTCCGCTCCACTCCTCTCCTCTCCTCTCATACAATTCCGAATATTTATACATACATTTATCATCCCCGACGACTGCTCATTCAACGGCCCGGCCCATGTAAATACATATACACAGGACCTCTTTCTCTGCAAGTCTGGTGCGTCTGGATGCGGATCCGTGAGCCGTGTCTCATCTTCTCTTCAGTTTCCTTTTTATTTTTCAAAAATATCTCTTTTGTGTGAGCGAGAGCACGTTTTTTACTTTTTTTTGAATGCCGTCTCCATTCCCCAACGACACCTCCAAATCCACAACAAAGTATACAACCTTCATCCACAACCGAAGATTTTCTTCAATTTCATATCAATTTTCTTGAACACGAAACGAACATTATACAATTATTTAAAACTATTATAATTAAACTTACGTAGTTCCATAAATCCAACAATCCAGATATTCAAACAAATTCCAAAATCACAATTTTCATATCTAAAAGAA